AGGAACTGCTAATGAAATATCCTTTTCTCTTTTAATATTATTCAAAGATTATGCTAAATGATACAATGATCACTTCATCCACCTCAGAAATGCAATGCATAGCAGTCTCCCACATGGCGATTTAGGACTAGAAATTAAAAATATTCTATGACTAAATTGGAGTGGGAAGTCAGGGAAATGGATCACAATTCTTTGTGATTTTGAGGTTTTGGAGAAGTATTGATTATAGCTTAGGTTACTTTGTAATGTTCTGCCTTTCAGGGCAGTAAGAAGGCTGTTTTGGAAGGAATCATTACTTTTTTCAATCAGTTGGATAAGAAACAAAAAGAAGAGCAGCAGGTTCCTGAGTAAGTTTCTTTTTGTCACTATCCTCCTTTACTAGGTATGAATTTATAACCTGTCTCTCATCTAACACTCCTCCAGCTTGAGTTAGGCCAAGCCCTGAAAAATGTGTCCTCTTTCATGTTTGAGAAATAATTTATACGTATTGATTAATTACAATCCAGGTTTGTAACCTGGGTCTTCTGCTCTTTAGGTCCAAGGATCTCGAAGTAGCCACAGTGCCTCTAGACCAGCTCCGACATGTGGAAGGCACCGTCATTCTGCATATTGTCTCAGTTATCAGCCTAGATAAGGACCTAGGCAAAGAGCTAATTAAACACCTAAAGGTACAGCAAAAGCAAAGCAGATTGGTATAATGTAGTGGAGAAACTTTTAAACTGGTGGGTAGGGTTTACTTGTTATTCATTCCAGCACAGATATAATGTGTAATATAGTAATTCTACTATAGCCATCAAAAAGCACACATAATGACCCAGTGTGTTGAGTATGGACATACCTCTCATTCCAAGCTGAGCAGCAAAACCTCAATCTCATGTCTTTCTTAATATTGCAAGCAGTGCTGTGCATATTGTTTTTTTCCCTAGGCTGAGCAGCAGAGAGATCCTGGCAAGGCCCTGTGCCCTTTCAGCGTGGCTCTTTTGCTCTCGGTGGCAGTAAAACACAAATCGGAAGAGCGGGTATGTGTTACTTGTGCATGACCTGGGGATTCTTTCTGTAAAGAGCTGCTTGTCGGTGTGCTGTGGGTGCTGTGCAGCTGGAGCAAGGAATGGAATGGCTTAGTTCAGATATACACTCAAGGGTGATCGTCATAGAGAAGTAGGGCTGGAAGGGACCTTTAGATGTCATCTAGTTCAGCCCCTGCCTGAGGCAGGATCATCCCTATCTAAACCATTCCATACAACCATAATCTAAATCAGAGGTGTGCAGTTTTTGGTTTGGAGTGCTATGTAAGGAGTTCTGATGAGGTGCTGCAGGCCTCAGGGTGTGGATGGCAATTGATCCTATCTGGGCCCATCTGTCCCACAGCCATTGTTGGGGGCACTGGATGGATCAGGTAGGCAGGATGTCCAGTTAGACTGGCTCGGGACCCCCTGTGGGCAGGAGGTGCTTGGCTGGGCAGATGGGATGCAGCTGTGGGCAGGAAGGGAGTGGCATTCAGGAGCGGGATGGGTGGCCAGGGGCTGGGCCAGAGCCACAATCTACTCCCTGCACATCCCTGAGATGGGTGCTAGTTCTGTGGGCAGGGGTGTGTGGGCAGCGGATTTCTGCTCTGCCCTGGACCCCATCCCTGCACTGTCAACCCTGCTGTGATCCTGGCCCCCACTCGCCCATCCTGCTCCTGGACACCTCTCCCTGCCCACCTGCGGCCCCATCCCATCCACCCAGCTGAGGACCCCCTGCAGACAGGGCATGGTTTCCATGGAGACACCACCCACCTGTTCCATCTGGCACCCCTGGCAGTGGGTTGGGGTGATTGGGCTGTGGGGCTGGGTCTAGTGTGGTGGTGGACACACTGGCAGCAGCAGCTGAGCAGAGTGAGCCACCAGCACAAGGGCTGCCACAAAGCCTCCCCCGCCACTCGCCTGGGGGCAGTGATACCAGCTGCATGCACCAAGGCCTGGGCTGCCTTCTGTGCCTGGGCCAGGTGGGGCCGAGGGATGTGCTGCAGGCCAGCTGGAATCACTTGCTATATTTTGTCCACCCCTGATTTAAACTCTATAGAAGGCCTGCCCTTAACCCTGACACAG